TTTGCCTGGCTTCAGGTGGAGAGGGGTGAGTGATACACTTAGCACTATGTACAGACTAAATTGGAACGAAGGTCACTCATAGGAATAGCTTCTGCCTAGTAATAGCAGGTTGCCTCATGTCACTGGAAACGTAGGCATAACCCTCTACCATCTGTCAGTGCCTTCTCATCATAATGTACTTATCAAGCTGCAGTCCCTAAGACGGTTTGGCAGCCTCGAGTATCAAAAGGCTCACTGGCCACCTTCTCGGGGCCCTGTGTAAATGTGGTCACTTTCCATTAACGGGTTGTGAACTGAAGTCCAGTCCACTACCACCAGCATATTATCACCCCTGGCCTCCAGGTGACACTAGACAGCAAGCCTTTCAAATTAGACCAATAGATCTCCTTTAACCTGAAGCAGGGGACCTGCTTCCTCCAGGGAGACTTAGGCACTCCTGACACTTCTTTACTCCCTCAGTGGTGGAATACATCATGCAGGAGGAACAGAGCCAGGATTCGCTGGTGCCTAAATTATACCTCTAAGGCAACTGCCCAGGAGATGACTGCACTTGGAGACATATGCACAGGGCCACTGGCCACAATTGGCATCTGCAACGCAGGGCGAAAAGGGGACTTAAGGTCTTCTTCCACATATCCTCCAGTCAGAGTGGATTCCTCTTCCGGGGAGGTTCAAGATATCAGGTTAGTCACAGAGGATGATTTAGCCCTGTATCATCGACCTCCACCGGACTCGCTGTCCAGTCCTATTGGGACTGTGTTCTGCAGGACCTTGGCCACGGCCAGCCTGGGATCAGGGTCAACCTTTCAGGCTCTTTGCGAAAGTCAATAAGATCTACCAGTATGTGGTTTCAGAACTGAATGTCTGGATTGAGGTCATTCCATCACCCAACACTTTCGGACTGGGCTCCAGATACTAGGCCATCCCAGGGGTGGAACCACCCAGTCCCTGAAATGGGATGAGGACTACAATCGGTAGCCACGACCTCACTGCACCCTTACAGGCGCCAAAGGTCGCTACCACAGTGGCAGCGTTGGGCTAGGCCCCTCCATTCTACAGAGGGAGGCAGTTGGGTCTTAAGCAGGCATACGGTCGGTGCCTGGTCTATTACACCGTCAGTGGCTGCTCCTCCCTCCTCTTTACTCGTTCCTTATGAGAGCTACGACAGCATCAAAGGAGAATCCAACTGATGACACAAGTTCACATCAGGAGGTAGCTGACCTTAGGGCCACTCAGTTGAGCGGCCCCCTCTTCCAGAGGGCATGTTTGTGGCCATGTCACTTGCCTCCTCAGTGCTGACTGGTCTTCTTCCCTAGCCTCAACATGGGTTGAGGATGGTTCAGGGTAAATGGAGCTTGGTCATGACTGGCAAGATCATGCCTGATGGTTGCAGACAACTCTGTCGTCACTTTCCTCCTTCGCCTTGCAGGGCTTTTTTCTCCTTTTCGAGCCTGGAAATGGTGCTCGACTGCAGCCGACCTCAGGTGACCTTTCCGGTCTGGAAGACCAGTTGACGGCCAGTTTGGGGAAAAGGGACCACCAATTACCTCTCGGTAGGGGGTCATTTCAGAACCTGGGGGTTTCAACTCTCCCTCTGCCATTTTACTAGAGGTCGGCCGACCACATTGGTGCTCACCTCGGCCTCTTGACTGGCAGGAGAATGCTACCACCGGTCCCTAGAGACCCATAGGGGTTGTAATCCTATTCATCTGTATTCAGGTCCTGAAGGTCTCGGGGGACCGGGAAGCAAATATTGCCTTCAAGAGGGCTCCTCCAGCTTCTACAGCTCCCATGCCATCTTCCGCAAAGAGGGTAACTAGCGATCTATCGACATTCCTTCTAACTTTGTGGCAACTGACGTTTTATCAGGGCTTTAATATTCGGCCTCCCATCGGCGCCCTGGACACCCAGAGAATTGGTTCTACCTTTCCTCGCTTATCTTGAGTGATGTCACTAAGGCGTCAATACTGTCTGGAGATCAGTTTCTTCCGGTTGTTTTCAGGCCTACTGGCGGGACAAGGATTACAATGGCCGATACAGGTGTTCCACGAGCAGGTCTTCTCACCATGCATGGAATATAGACAACTCCCCTACACTAATTACCTCACTTGGGGGTTTTAGGGAACCCTCAGCTGTCGTTGTATATCTTCCCAGTTGGACTCACTGAATTCCACCTCACGGCCTCCCTAGGGCATGCCTTCAGTCCGTGCACTGAAACGACCTCCGGCTTTACCAAGGTACCACAAGGGACCTTGATTATGGGGGTTGGGGTTCCTCAACCGGTACAATGGTTGTCCTGATCATTGGTTCCACGGGAGGTCGTTTCACAGCTCCATCTGACCCAACTTCCCCTATGGGTGTGCACTGGCTGGGGAGGAGGATGCTCCAGCCCCACTAGCTAAAGGAGTGGTGCGTTGGCCTAGAGGTGGAGCTCTTGCCCCATGACCTCCAGGCTGCGAGTTTGATCCTGGGTTCAGGCAGATAGCCCTCTAACTGAGACCTTAGATCTCCTTGTATTGGGCCACTTCTCAGCGGACAGCATCTGTTGGCCATGCCCAGGACGCTACAAGGGTTCTGGGGCTCTGTATCGAACCGATGCACCTTGCTTGTCCATTTAGGCCTATCTGTACAAGTATTATAGTCCGCCTGACGGACTCCCATCCTCCAGGTCCTTGGGGTTGGCCTCGGATTGCCGGATCCTCTGCGGGGAGAGGCCCTTTGGGTCCTCAGGTAAGGAAGGTCCGTGCGGAGTGCATTGCGCCATTGGACTGGCATTCCCAGGCCACAGTGGGCCACATAGGGCGATGCTTATTTGTCACTGTCCCAGCTGGCTCCTGTGGCCTATGACCACAGTCGCCTCCGATGGCCTCTCCACAGGTAGGCGGCAACAGGAGCGGGGGTAACATAGTACATTGTTAACCGCCCTGGGGGCAGCCATCAGCTTACCTTGCAGGTATCTGGGCTCTTGGTCCATCCTGGTCCACGAATTGGGCTGACCGCCCAGCGGTCCCAATGAGTCCTGGGCGGGGATAATTCTCCTCCAGAATGATTCCAGACATTTCAGGCTAGGCCATTCCACTAGCAGGCAATGCCGAACTGCCCAATCGGGATTAGATTGGAAATCTGGCTGGAGCATTGACCTGCAGACGGGTTTGGATTTCTCAGGTTCTGGAGTTCTGCCATTGCGGCCTGATCTCCTGTCTTCAGATGGACTTTCCCAGCGGCCGCTGAGTGCAGGTACCTCGGGACAACAGGAGTGTGCAACTTCCCGTGGTGCTCGAGATACATGGTTGGACCCTGGCGATATCTGACAGGCAGGTAGCCTTGGTAGTACAGTGCTACCAAGGCTCTGACAAGAGCCTTGGTAGTACAGTGGTCTAAAGCACCTTGTTATTAAGACCAGCTGCCTGCAATTACTGCAGGTTCAAATCTCGCCAGGCTCAAGGTTGACTCAGCCTTCCATCCTTTCTAAGGTAGGTAAATTGAGGACCCAGTTGTGGGGGCAATAAGCTGACTTTGTATAAATATACCAAAGAATGAAGGCTATTGCTTAGCGCATTGTAGGCCACCCTGAGTCTCCGGAGAAGGGTGGCATATAAATCAAATTTTTTTTTTAAAAAAAAATAGCCTTCAGGACGGCCGGACAGGAGTCATAGGCGACGTCCAAACCAGCAGAGAGGGGTTCTGGTTGGATCTCTCCCTCTTCCCGGGAGTATGCTAGGAGCCATTGAATCCATAGCTCTTTTTGCCTCCTCTTGGCAGCGGTCTGATCCTTCTTGGCGGTTGACTTGGCAGGCCTTGCAGGCCCGGGGATTTTGGCACATTGGCCTGACTGGGTCCGCCTCCCTTGAGGGAACGGAGTTCTTCCTTTTTCCTTTCATTCCAGGTATCTTTCAGTGGCACCATGGTTGATCCTTCACTTAGGGACGGCTGGGTTCGGTCGGGACTTGTCCCGCTGGCAAGCTTCTGGCCTTCCAAGGACTCATGCGTCTCGGAGATTCCACCGGCGCCGCAGCCACGCCTGTGGCGCAGGAAGCAAGATGTTCGGGCAGGGAAGTTGGTTGAGCTGTTGGTCTCCCTCATTCTGTTCCCCTCCGTCTCTGGGGGGTGTCGCTTGTTCTTCGGCTGTGTCTTGTCTGGGCGAGCCCTCCGGAGTGCTCGTGCAGAGCAGGGGACTTCGGACCAGACTTCTTCCCTCCCATATGACTAACCGGCTTTGGTAAGTCCCATTCCTGGATGATCTTCCCCGACACAGTGAAGATGGGGCATTGGTCCTACCTGATACGCTCCTTCTCAGGGTGCGGGAAAGATCAGCCTCACCCGGGTGACCGTCTGGTCCATTGTCTGGGAGGGGCTAATGTTTTCGCAGGTCGTGAGCCCCTTCATCGCTGCGCCCTCGTTGAACTGGGGAACACCGAGGCAAGGGAGTTGTGGCCAAGAAAAATACACTCTTGTCTCCAGGCAGAGTTTTTACCCATTCCTGGATGATCTTCCCCGCACCCTGAATAGGAGCGTATCAGGTAGGACCAACACCCCATTTACATTTCTTGCAGAATTATTTGCATTATTTGCATTCTTTTAGAGAGTCATTGAGGCCAATTGGAGGTTTATGTGTGTTTTTGGGGTCACCTGAGTAGTGCAAATGGATGTGGAACCTTGAAGCTGCTGAAAGGACTGTGTTGCAGATTGGAGATAAATGATGTCATATCCCTCCCCCGCTAAGAGTGGGCCATTTAGTTTTAACATAGATGACCTTTTTGACCCCTCCTTCAAACTAATGATCCTCTGTCCAAAATGTGGACTTTGATGTCTTGAAACAAGTGGCCTGTGTCTTTTAAATGCAGATGGACTGCTGAATTTAGTCCTGATGTGTTTGTTCTCTTATGTTGTGCCAATGCAGTGAGACATGTGCAGATCTGTACATAGGGGAAACAAAACAACCACTTCATAAACCATCCATCTGACTAGCGACCCCAAGAAAAGTTGCCATTCTCAGGAACTTTGAAATCCCAAAAGCAAAACTTTATTAGAGGCACCATTCCGGTATGGAAGAATCAAAGTCAACTTTGGTTTTTCCCGTGCAATGCATGCATAGTTAAACAATAGCTTTCTTTCTCCCCACCCTTGGTTAGTCACATTATCCAATTATGCATTGTTCTTTTGTTTTGAGAACTGTTCACTTTTCTGTCAGTCACTTGCATCAGTGGCTTTGGTGGGTTCTTGGCTCTCCCGGTCTATCTCTGGCGCATCTGCATTCTTTCTCCCCCCCTCCACAAGTTCTTTGGCAACTTTGAATAGTGATAAGACCTAAACATTTCAAAAGCAGTTCAATCTTGACATGACGACCCCCTGTGGAAAAAGGGAGACCTGGAAAGATATCATACATAAATTATTATCATTACTTATGTTCCTTGAGCCTTCATTTCTCATCCTAGTTTTTGTGGGTGTTTTCTTCTCACTAACTGAAAAGCTTTCACATCCTGCTCTTTTGCCTATTCTGCTTCTGATATAGGGTAGCCCTTCCGTTGTACCAGGTATTGCAATTTCCTCTTATAGTATCTTGAATCTAGGATTCTGTTAATTTCATAATGGTCTTCCCCTCTCAGGAGGCGGTAGTTTCCATTCAATAGGTCTCAAGTTGGAATCTTTTTTTTTTTATTGCAAAAGTTTTACAATTACATTTTCACCCCTTTTTTTCCACCCCCCCTCCCCAAACTTCCCATCCTCCCTAACCCTCCCTAATCCTCCCCCCCCAGACTTCCCTATTATGTACTCATAACTAATAACACTGATATATAAGCTTGAACCCATCCCTCCCCCTGTATAATTTTTCCTCTTTGTCTCTTTACATTAAAATATTTCTAATACATTATTTTCAAATAAAAGCTATTTGATACTTTCTAGTTTGATATTTGTTCTGAACATATTCTATCCATCTTTTCCATTCCCATTCATAAGTCTCTTGTGAACAATCTTTTAAGTATGCTGAAATCTTCGCCATCTCTGCAAAACTGGCCATCTTCAAAGTCCATTCCTCAATAGTGGGCAAAGCTTCATTTTTCCAGTATTTACCTATCAACAATCTTGCTGCTGTTATCATATACAATATCAGTTTTGTTTCACCCGATGTAAAATCCTTAACTATACCCAATAAAAACAATTGTGGAGAGAATTGAATTTTTTTCTTCAAAACATTCTGCATGACCCACCAAATTTTTATCCAAAAAGCCTTAACTTTCCTACAGGTCCACCAAACATGATAATACGTAGCATCCAAACATTCACATCTCCAACATTTTGGCTGAACATTAGGGTACATACATGACAACTTTTTGGGATCTAAATGCCATCTATAAAACATTTTATAGAAATTTTCCCTCAGGTTCTGCGACTGTGTAAATTTAACATTCTGAACCCAATTTTTTTCCCATGTTTCCAATATCACTGATTCTTCAAAATTTTGTGCCCACTTAATCATACAATCTTTAACTAATTCAGTTTCTGAATCCCTTTCTAGCAAAACATTATAAAGCCTTTTGATATGCATTGGACCTTTCTCTTTTATATGTCTAACCAATTCTTCCTCATGCAACATAATACCAGTTTTTTGATCCTCTTTCCATCTCAATTGTAATTGATTATATTGTAACCAAGTTAAATTAATCCCTTCGTCCAACAGTGTCTGCAATGTCTTCAGCTGCCATCTGCCCGCATCTGTAAAAAGAACCTCTTTGTATAAAAACCCCCCGAGTGACATTATATTTGTATTCCACAAAGTATGACCAAGATCCAGCCATAGCGGTATTTTATAATCCCATTTGAGTCGGTGCTTCTTCCAAACTCTCATCAAAGAATCTCTAAGTATATGACTTTTAAATACTTTATCTACTTTGTCGTCGTAAAATAAGTAAGCATGCCATCCAAATTCAAGATCAAAACTTTCTGCGTTCAATATTCCAGTCTTTTTCCTTCCAAACCAGTCACTTGTTAAGGTTAAAGCTGCTGCATCATAATATAGCTGTAGGTTTGGAAGTTTAAGACCTCCTCTTTCTGGAACATCTTGCATAATTTTCAATTTCACTCTCGGCTTCTTCTCGTTCCAGACAAACTTATTCACTCCAGATTGCCAAACTTTCAATTGTTTATCACTTTTAAGCACCGGAATCATTTGAAACAAAAAAAGAAATCTTGGCAAAATATTCATTTTAACTGCTGCTATTCTTCCAAGTAGAGACAGCTGCAGTTTTTTCCAAGTCTCCATATCTTTCTGCACCTCTCGCCACAACACCTCATAGTTATTTTGAAACAATTTCATATTTGATTCTGCAACCTGAACTCCTAGATATTTTACCTTAGGTACAGTCTCAAAACCTGCCCTCCTTTCAAGCTCATGTTTACGATCTTGTGTCATGTTTTTAGCTATCATTTTAGTCTTTTTTGGATTCAATCTAAAACCTGAAACTTTACCATAGTCTTGTATAATGTCCTTCATCAAGATTATTGATTCCATTGGTTGTGATAGGGTAACAACCAGATCATCTGCAAATGCCTTTATTCTGTAATCCTCTTGCCTAATCTTTATACCTTTCAAGATATTAGAGTCCCGTATTGTATTTAGCAAGACTTCTAGTGTTAAAATAAATAAAAGTGGGGACAACGGACATCCTTGTCTTGTTCCTTTTTCAATTTTAAACTCTGTTGTCAGACTTCCATTAATAATAATCTGTGCCTTTTGCTCTTGATAAATTGCCGAAATCGCCTGTATAAATTGATCCCCAAAATCCATCTTTTTCAAAGTCTTTAATAGAAAATTCCAATCCACTCTGTCAAAGGCCTTCTCTGCATCCAAAAAGACCAGCACTGCAGGGATCTGTTTATTCTTCTCAAGATATTCCAATAAATCTATTACTTGCCTTACATTGTCCTTCATATATCTACCCTCGATAAATCCCGCTTGATCATCATGAATCACCTTTTGGATTACTGGCATCAACCTGTTGGCTAGTACTTTCGCAAAAATTTTTTAATCTGTATTCAAAAGAGATATTGGTCTATAGTTCTCTGGTTTTTTAGGACCGATTTGTTCTTTTGGTATCAAAGATATGTAAGCTGTTGTCCATGATGGGGGTATTTTACCCCCTTGCTGAATATTGCAAAATAAATCTCTAAGTTGTTCCACCATTTCAGCTTGCAAAGTTTTGTAATACACTGCAGTCAAGCCATCCGTACCAGGAGCTTTGGCTGTTTTTAACTGTTTAATTGCTACTATTATCTCCTCTTCTGTTATGGGATAATTCATTCTTTCCTTTTGTTGATCAGTAATTTTTGTAACTCTTTTATCGTTTAAATATTTTTCTATAAGTCCATTCTATATAATAGTCCACAAAAGCTTCTTTAATTAATTTTTGTTGAAAAATTTCTTTCCCTCCAATATCAATACTATCAATAGTCCGTATACTTTGTTTTTTCCTCAATGTGTAAGCCAACCATCTGCCCGGTTTATTAGCGTTACAAAATGTATTATGCTTCGCATATTGTAAGTTTGTTGCAACTTGTTCCGCCATAAGCATTTGAAATTGGTCTTTCAAAAGTTTTATAGCACTACGTATTCTTTCATCTGTTGGATTTTTAATAAGTAACTGTTCTTTTTTCTTTATTTCTATTTCCAATTCAGATCTTTTCTTTTGTCGGAACAGTCTATGTTTAGAGTTCATGTAGATAAGTACCCCTCTCATATAAGCTTTACTTGCATCCCACACAATTTCAATTGGGGTGCCTTTATTCAAATTTATTTCAAAAAATTCTTTCAAATGCTTTTTAAGTTCTGTTGTATTTTTTTCATATCTAAACAAATTCTCATTTAATCTCCAAGAACGTCTCTCAACCTTGTCCATCTCAATTTCTATCCATACTGGGCTATGGTCAGTCAAAATTCTTGGAAAAATCTTTGTTCTTTTTGTCTTAACAAGTAAATCATCTGTCAACAAAATAAAGTCAATCCTAGAGAAGGATCTGTGTCTGTCAGAATAAAAAGTATAGTCCAATTCTTTTGAATTATGTATTCTCCAAACATCTTTTAGTTCCATATCTTCTTTCATGTCAAAAAAGGTCTGTGGTAATCTGATTCTAGACTTTGCCAAACTCTTTTTATCTAATTTAGAATCGATTACTCCATTCCAGTCTCCCATAATTAAAATAGATCTGTAATCCCATTGCAATATTTTAGTATGTAACATCTTATAGAAATAGTCCTGTTGTTGATTGGGAGCATAAATCCCAATCAGAAGAATTTGGCCATTTGCGGTAGACAATTCAATTGCTACAAACCTACCATCTTCATCTGTTTCTATAACTTTAGCTGTTAACTTTTTATTTACATAAATTACCACTCCATTCTTTTTTTGCGAAGTTGAAGATATAAAATGTGTTCCTAGTTTGGAGTTTATCAAATATTTTTGATCTTGAGTTGTGATATGCGTTTCTTGTAAACAAATTATATCATTATTAAATTGTTTCAAATATGTAAATAATTTCTTCCTTTTCTGTGCTGAATTCAACCCATTAACATTCCAGGATAAACACCTAAACGTCATCAGCCTCTTTCTGGAGCCAAGAGCAAAATAATTGAAGATCATCCGAAATCTTTGATCTCGCTCCTCCCATAACTCCAATCTCTTGTGCAGTACTCTTATCTGCCTCCTTGTCTTGTCTTTCCTGTTGTTGTTGTTGCTTTTGTTTAAGTAACTTAGCTTGAGCTCGAGTTATACGTTGATCCTTAACTTCAATCATCCGAACCGGGTCCAAGATTGGAGAAGATTCCAGCAAGGGCTCATCCAGAAAACCTCCTTCTGCACCTTGCACTTCTTCTAATTCCTGCTTAGACTGTTCTTGCAGTTCTCGTTGAGGTTGCTTCTCTTCACTCTCTTTAATCTCCAAAACTGTAGATGTACGTGGAGATGGTGTTCTTTCCTTAAGAATAGTAGTGTAGAAGTGCTGTGCCTTCTCCACGGTATTCAAACGATATCTTTCTCCCTTGTATCTGAAAATTATGCCAACTGGTGCGTCCCACCGGAAAGATATCTGTAAATTTTGCAATTCCTTAACAAGAAAGCCAAATTCTTTTCTAGCTTTCAGCATTTTAGGAGGTAATTCTTTATAAATTCCAATTCGTGAACCCCCCACTTGTACAGAAGTGTAAAAGGATTTTTGCAGGATATCGTTTCTTATTTCTCTATCTGTAAAATATATGACTACGTCTCTAGGTAATTGTCTTTGTCTGGCCACCCAAGAGTTCACTCTGTAAATTTTGTCTATTTTGTGAAAAACCACATCTGGATTAACTTGTAAAATCTTAGCCAGGGCCTCAG